TAAATATATATATATATATATATATATATATATATATATATATATATATATATATATATATATATATATTATATATGTGGGTGTATGTGTGTGTGTGTTTGCGTGTGTGTATGTGCATATGAATATGCAATATATATATATATATATATATATATATATATATATATATATATATATATATATATATATATATTATATTATATATACATGTTTATTTATTGATTTATTCATTAGGAATTATATCATATTAATTTACATTATAAAATAATATACATGTATGCATACATGTATGTGTAGTTACCTATGTATATAATGTATATATAGAGAGATACATATGTAGATAGAAAAATAGATAGATAGACAGATAAATAGATATATGGATAAATATGAATTTGGGAATACTCTTTTACTGTCAGCATGATTTTTTATCGGCTTTCAAATTTGACCGGAATCCACAGATAAGAAGTAATAACCATATTTTCATGGATTGTTTAGCATATTCTGCCTAGACAGAAGAAAACACATACGGTAAACATATGCTGTGTATTTGTATTGTTATAATTTTTTCCCCAGCTCTCAGCAGCAGCCACCCTTGTGACATCGACGAGAACCCGGCTGCATGGTGAGCCCTTGCGAAGCATTTGGAGAATATCTTCATTAGCAGGTCGCAAGTGACACTGTGTATACCCAATGCATATACGCAACATACACTAGAATCATATATATATATATATATATATATATATATATATATATATATATATAGATATAGATATAGATATAGATATAGATATAGATATATACACACATACTCACACACAGAAAGAGAGAGAGAGAGAGAGAGAGAGAGAGAGAGAGGAGAGGAGAGGAGAGGAAAGGAAAGGAGAGGAGAGGAGAGGAGAGGAGAGGAGAAGAGAGAGAGAGAGAGAGAGAGAAGAAAGAAAGACAGAGAGAGAGTGAGAGAGAGGAGAGAGAGAGAGAGGGGGGAGAAAGAGAGTGAAAGAGAAAGAGGGAGGGACGGGGGGGGATGGAGGGATGGAGGGATGGAGGATGGAGAGATGGAGAGATGGAGAGATGGAGAGATGGAGAGAGAGAGAGAGAGAGAGAGAGAGAGAGAGAGAGAGAGAGAGAGAGAGAGAGAGAGAGAGAGAGAGAGAGAGAGAGAGAGAGAGAGAGAGAGAGAGGGGAGAAAAAGAGAGTGAAAGAGAAAGAGGGAGGGATGGAGGATGGAGCGAGAGGAGAGAGAGAGGAGAGAGAGAGAGAGAGAGAGAGAGAGAGAGAGAGAGAGAGAGAGAGAGAGAGAGAGAGAGAGAGAGAGAGTGTCTGGGTTTTAGAAGTTCCCGACTTGGTGGTGTTTGGAGAAGCGCGTGCTGGTTTTACTTCTTTATTGATGTTGGTTGAGGGCTGGTAGCGTGAGCGAAGGTTGTGTCTCACGCTGGTGCAGGAAAGTCCCGACTGGGGGGTGGGCGCCCCGAGGAAGAGGCCGCATCCGAGCGGAGACGCGGCCCGAGGTAGCGTGGGGTGACTCCCAAAGGGGAAGTGTCCGGTCGAGGCCGCGACTGGATGTCGAGAGCTGTTGAGTTGAGGAGTAGGTCACAGGTCATGCGCTCTGGGGCGGGGCTAATCAATCCGCCGCCGTGACTGGTAGCACAGGCCGTGGCCACCAGGGACGTGTGACCGCTCCCAGATCGCTTGGTAGACGCTCTTAACCGTCGTCCTCGAAGGAGCAGCTCGGCTGGCGTTCTCTGAAAGATGTACACCGAGGGCACAGACAGGTAGGTTGGCAGGAGCGCAAACATGGGGGAGGGAGGGGTGCTGCGTGACAAAAAGGCCGTATGATGCAATCAAAATATATATTGCAATGGAAGTGACTTGAATATTTGCAAGAATTTTTATTTTTTATTTTTATTTTTTCAAAAATTCACTGTCAAAGGATACACCAAGGAACATGCTTAGGGAGACAATTGCAATAGTCTGCAAAGACTTACTTGAGTTGCATTTGTCTCGGATAGCAGTAGGTGAAAATCTAAAAGAGATAAACATTGTGTATTACTACAAAGAAGCAAAGGGTGTCACAGTCTGCAAAGATAGTCTTGAATAATAAACTTCCTTAGAAAAAAAATGCAACAATGCAGAGTTCAACAGTGTCCTGTGCAACAGTGCATGCAATATACATCTGACTAATAGGAAGTATATGCATGTCCTTTCTCATTTCACTGAAATTGTCTATCACACGTCACCAACAGCAATTCGAGGCAAAACGATAATGAAAATAGGTAATGTAGTCATACTTCCGGGAGCGACTCGTTACATCAAATATGCTTGCTCAAGACAACATAGGTACGATAAGACGTAATGCAAGGCAAGAATACACAATTGCTGCAAGCCAATTATCTTCTCTCAAACAGTATACATGCAATTATTGTGCAATTAACGTGGTTTGTGCAAGGAAACACAATGTGCGAATGAGGCTGCATGAAAGTAGGTGAGCGGTGAGTAGACGAGTCGGAGTATAGCACACGAGTAAAGAGTAATATGATATTGATAGATTTTTTATTAGAGACATTAGTAATTAGATAAAGCAAGAATGAGAATAAATAAATTATAGAATGCGGTGGTAGTTGAAATAGAAAAGCGAAGGGGGGGAGAGGGCGGTCGGCGTTTTAAGGGAAGGAGGGGGAGGGGGGGGGGGTTAAAGAGGTATGGGTGAGGATGTGGGGGAGGAGTAGGTATGTAGGCAAGGGTGGAAACGTGGATGGCGGGCAATGAAAATAATCACCGATCTGACTGCACAAAGAGAACATTCACACTAATGACAATAAAATTATTTTAATTGTATCATTGAATCAACTACTATACGAAATCATAAAAATGGTACTTTATTTAGTACGTAAATTTAATGAATTGGTGACAGGTCAGCCATGGAACAAAGATTTGCAGAGCAAGTCTTGGGGCAACTGACGGCCGATAGACAACCCTCATGGTTGTGAGTAATATATACTTAGAAAAAGTCCCTGAGGAAAAGCGATGAAATCACCGTAGAAAAGGGTGTCATCGGACGAGTCTTACGTAGAGCACTTACGCAAATTGGGCATCACATCCTGGAAAACAATGGGCGCAGCGCAGTGCCAGAACGCATCTGTGCGATGAGTGAGCAGCTGGGCCATGTAATAATGGTGAAATGAGGTTCGTGATTAAGATTGATAAATGAAGAAAATGTTTAAAAATCAAGTCAGCATTAAAACGTTTATCATAAGAAAAGAAACAGCAAATCGTTAGGATGACTGAGGCAATTCCGCATGTATTGATGAATCATGAGAGCGAGAATCACGAATAAACGAAGTCGTAGTAGCTGATATAATATAATTAATCTCTAACACTGAAAGATAACTGAAGTAAAATAGAAATATATGGCATTAAGACTTTCTACCTGAGTGAGGTCAATTGAGATCATTATCCGAATATTTCATAATATAATATAATATTAAGAAAATTAAATGTGTAAAAAGTAAGCACACAGTCATCGAAAAATTAAATAATGTAATTACCAATAAATGAAAGGAAGAATTTAAATTTACTATATATGAATAATTCAGGGGAAAATATCCATAAAGAAAAAGGATCATCGTGGCGAAATATACTTTAAAATGTGCACAAATATACTATGATAATAACGTAAAATCACACGACAATATAACTTGAAGGAATGCATAGCTTATATCTACATGTACAATTATTTATGCATAATCAAAGGTGACCTTTGATATTATATCGATGAAGTACACTAATACTGTTACAGCTAGGAGATATATATATGTAAAACCTATTGTAAATTCATTATCCTATAGTAAATACGTCAATGACGGAAAGAACAATGATAATGTTAATTTACGTTATCATAATTATAATGCCATATAGAATAAACTGTAATTCGGAAAAAAAAAAATTAGAAAGACATTTCCAAATATCATCTAACACAGGTACAAAAAGGAGAGAAATTGTCATCATTTGACAAAACCGAGTATAACACTTGTATATATAAAAATGCTGAAGTTAATAATAATAATTCAAAAGAAGAAAAATCAAACGTTCCAAGCTTAACTTCAAAATGATATTGGAAAATAAACTTAGGAATTTCACAAAGATAGAGAAGGTCAGGAAGATAGGTCGCATGTAATTTAAATGAATATCACGACAAAATATTTAACCGCTAGTGGCCTGAACAGATATACTCTTTTTTTTGCAGCAGGATAGGAAAGAGAGGAAACAGGGGAACAAGCTAGCTGGAGCTTAGGAAGAGAAGGTTGGAAAATGAAGCAGAGGGAGATGTAGAAGTAGTAGGGCAGACCTACTTGCCGTTTATTTAAACTTTATTTACAAAATCAAGGTTATATACAGGTATAGTTGTATTGGATTACGCATTCGGAAATACTGCTTTTGCTAGACAATTGTTGCGGCTCTCCGCTCTCGATGTAGGGTGATATTCGTCACCACGAGTGGTCGTTCACAAGAGGGAAGTTGTTCTCTTCGAATGATTGTGCTGACAGTTCTTCGTCGATGGTTTCTAATTTGTCCCAGACTTTTTTTTTCCAAGATGTAGAGTATGGTGTTTATAGTCTCCACTATGTATTTGTTGTACACTTCTGCTATTGATAGCAGAATGTCTGCCTCGTTCCTCCTTGTTGCTGTCCGAAGGACTGTTTTGAAATTGCTGCATCTTGGTTATGTTTGTTTTCGATGGATTGGACAGGGGAATGGCCGGGTACTCCATGATTGGTCTAATAAGGGTTTTTATAGAAGTGGAGCTGTATTTTTGAACTCTTCGTGTTGTATGTGTTGATACTCCGCGTGTACCAAATTCCATGCCGAGTACTGTGACTGCTTTTGAAGGGCATTATCTCGGCCTCAACTTCTACTTCCCTTGGTTTTGTTGCTGACATGGTTAATTTGTTTTTGTTGGTCTTCATTTTCCATTTATTCTCAAAGTCATTTATTCTTCGTATTTCATTTACCGTCGTTGTTGCTAATGCCTCTTTCTTAGTTAAAGGGTATATATAATCTGGGTGTTATTGTCTGCAAAACTTACATCTGCACAGTTGTTTCTGGGTCTTTCGAGGTCAGCAAAATATGAAAATCTTCCTCCTTATTGATCCTTGAGGCATGCCACCTAGTAAGGGAAACTTAAGTCCCACTATGTTCCTAATCTTGTGTTGCCATGTAGTCTTCTAAAAAGTTGCAAAGGATATTTTCGATGATATCTGGGATATTTATTTGTAGAATTTTGAAGTGGAGTCCTAGTTTCCAAAGACTGTCAAGTACTTTTGCTATGTCACGACATACAATGTTACATTGCTGTCTCTTTCTTTGGGATATTGCAATGGTTTCGTATATGGAAGTTATAGCCTGTTGTGTTCCTCTTCCTTTCCTGAATCCTGAATGATTTGGGTTGAATAGACCATTATTTTCCATGTGCATTTTCACTCTGTTATTAATTATTTTTTCTATCTTACCAGGTATTTCTAAAGTGACATTGAACTATAATTTTCAACTTTTCTATGTTTTTTTCCTGCTTTTGTTCTTAAGACCATTATGGCATTTTAAAAATTTGATGGAAAATAGCCCACTGAAAGAGCCCAGTTGAAAATGGTCTTCAGTTCTGCAATGGCAGCATCCGGGAGATGCTGCATTACAGTCGTTCTCACGCCACTTTGACCGGGGCTTTATCCTTAAAGTTTTTAACTATAGACTTGATATCTCCTGTTGTGATAGGTCGTGAGAGGGTTATCATTGTTAAGTTTGATTGCTTGTGCTTCTCTATAGAGGAAAAGCATATCTATTATTTGTGGGGTAATCTTGCACCATAGCATCCTGTTGCATATCAAAGTTATGGTTATTTTCATCGCTGATTTTAAAAACGTGTTCCCAGAATCTTCGAAAAATCATCTCTTGATCGCCTGATATTTTCTCATTGTTGGTGTTTAAAATGTAGGGCGTTTCTTTGCGGTTGCTTACCTTTAGTGGTTTTACTTTTTCCAGAACTTTTAAGGGTTAATCTATGCTATTTCTGTTTCCTCCTTAAGTTTATTCCAGTGGTTTGTGGCTAATGTTTTGCTTTCCTCCTTCATTTCTTCGTAAAGTTGCTTATACTGAGTGCGTAAGAGAGGCGTCCATCCACAATGTTTCTGTACCTCCATGTTAGCAGCTTGAGATGGTCACTTGTCTCAAGCTGCTAAGATTGAGGTACAGAGACAAGCGACCATCTCAAGCTGCCATACTCTTATTGAAATGAGGTAGCGAGGGAGGGGAAATATCGGGAGGGGGGTTACGAGAGGGGGAGGGTAGCGGACGAGGGTGGGTGGCAAGCGTGGAGAAGGAGGGAAAATGTTTGTTTCTGGAGAATTTAATTATGTTTATAAAAGATGCCAGGGGTATAGCAACACAGCATGGCTCTAGCCATGTGGGACATAGAAACAAATTGATTTCTTAAGAAGAATGCACGCATGAATTTACCCACTAAATAAAAGATAAAGCAACACACGCAAGTTCCCCTTGTCCTCCATGCAAAGGATAACGAACCACATCAAAAAAGATGTGGTGATAGTGGGCGGAGGGGTCGCGGGGCTGTCGGCGGCCAAGGAACTACTCGCCGCCGGAATCTCGGATGTCATCGTCTTGGAGGCTCAGGACTACCTCGGGGGAAGAGTCAAGACCTACAGGGAAGGTAGGTACCAACATCTTCTCTTTCACTCTGTATTTTATGTCCTAAGACGAGTGTACACGCTTATTTCATGGCTAGTCTACATAGATTTTGCTTCTCATGGTTCCTTCTCTATGTAGTTAAGATGTTACATTACAAAAAGGCGTCTTGATAATTCCCCATCAGGAGACATTCTGACGGAAGACGGGGCGGAGTGGATCAATGGAGGCCGCTTCAATCCTCTTTATGGTCTCGCGGCGGACCTGGGGGGATTAACTATGCCGCTGCCAGACACTGCTTACGGTAGGTGTCCACTGATTTGCAGGCATATAGTATAAATATGTATATACTTATGCATATCTATATTTATATCTATATCTATATTAAATCTACCTATTTCTCTCTCAATCTCTCCATCTATGCATGTATATACATGCATGCATGAATGCATACACACACACGCACGCATACATACATGCATTCACAAACACACACACACACACAGTATATATACATATATATATGTATATATATATATATATATATATATATATATATATATATATATACATACATACATATTTGTGTGTGTGTGTGTGTCTGTGTGTGTGTGTGTGCATGCGTGCGTGGGTATAAATATATAAACATTTATACATATGTAAATATATACATATACATATGAATATATACCTATATATACACAAATACACATACATACATACATACACATACATGCATGCATATATATATATATATATATATATATATATATATATATATATATATATATATATATATATACA